GATTTCACCATGTGGGCTCATTTGTACACTCCGTGAGAATAAGGGACTGGTGGTAAAAGGGCCCTTAGAGAATATTTCACGTCTGAAGAAATCATAGCAATATTTTTGTTATTTACCTGAAGATTTTCACAGGTCTCTTGACTATAAGTCAGTCTCTGGATTTCTGTAGGTGAAACAAGATATAATGCTTGTCCATTGTTGGTGAAGCAGAACGTTCTGGCTATCCGCATATTGGTAAGGGGCAAGTAATACACATCCAACAGAGGCCTTAAACTTGGCAAACTTAAGAAAAAAATAAAAATTTGTTAATAATAAAGTATGTCTTAGTCTTGAACAAATTATTATAGAATTTAAAATGGCAGAGACTTTGTAAATCTTATGATTTAGTTTGTATACATGAGTGGGAGATAAAGAATGTATTTCTCATATACCTATTCACTATTAACTGAAAATAAATTCTCAGTGTATAAGACTATAAATAAAAAAGTATTTCCTTCAAACAATATAATTCTGTAATATAATTTGAGAAACAAAAAATGCTGTATTTGTGTTTAAAAAAATACCTCTTACCTAAATGTCATAATGTGTCCATTGGCACAGAAACAGGCAAGGCAGATACTGTTGCTCAATGCTACAATATCTCCACGGAGCACAAATGAGGTCTCTGTAATGTTTTGCTTATAAGCACAGTTCTGGGTTGGCAGTGAAATTACTTTTGCTTGCTTTTCAGAACATATCACTGCATACTGGTTTTCACTAATTTCCTGAGAAGAGGAGGGGGATACTGAGACAGGTCGCCGCTTTTTCAATTTCTCCTTTTCATCTTTTTCTTCAGGAACGTTGTGCTCTCTCCAGGGTTCATGTGCAGGTGGCATTAAGCAGCCTGTGGTATCCAGAAATGCCATTCTCAAGATTGCACCTTTTAACCTCAATATAGTACCTAAAAATAGAAGTCTAATAAATAACTGAAATATTTTCATCCACAGAGTAAATATGTTTGTTCCAACTTCGACATATATAATAGACACTCAAAAATATGCTGATTGCATACTGAACTGAAATTGTACACTGGCTCACTGACAGGATTCAAACTCAAGCATGATATTCATGAGTCTGGAAAAGATATCAACATTACACACCCCTAATAAATTAATGCCACTAACTGGTCATTCACAATTTAATTAAATATGATGAATTCTGCAAACATATACCTAACCCTTAGATGAATAAACAACTGATATGCTAGGGGATCTGGAACTATGTCTCCTCTCACACCCAGCAAGTGCACTACCAAGAAGTACGGGAGCAAGTGGATGGCATCTGGAGCTGTGCTGTCCAGTACAGGGCTACTAGCCACATGCGGCTGCAGAGCACTGGACATGTGCCTTGTCCAAAGTGTGGTGGACAAATGCAGTGTACTCTAAGACTACAACACATACCATATTTGAAGACTTTAGTACTCCACAAAATTAAATGTAAAATATCTCAATAATTTTGAAATAATAATTATATGCTAAAATGATATTTTGGATACAATGTGATAAATAAAATGCTATTAAAATTAAT